TTTGCATTTAATGGTCATAATGCCTCCACGACTGGACATAAGTTTACTCCAAGGGAAATATGTGGTTAGACGTATGATTGGTAAAGGACATTTTAGTTTAAGGTAGTACCTGAAAAGGGCTGTAATTGGGCATAGTTGAACAAATCTTTTTGACATTGTCCTCTTACAGTATAGACAATAAATGCATCCCAACTTGAATTCTTCTTTGACGAGATCCAACAAATTGTGTTATTGATTAATTCTTATCCCCTTATAAGACTAATCTATCATTCTAGCTGCCAGCTCTTCGAAGAATGTTTTGGTTTCTTATATAATGTGACCTACATTTTCAGTACTCTTTTGTTGAGATTTACTGAATCTGATTTGATGACTTTAGGCCTGAGGTCTTTTCTGTTTTAGCACAACAACTCCAATCAGCAGATGTTCTTACTTCCCATAGGATCTTTATGATTCTCTTTCGAACCTTGAAGGAATTGTCCACCAAACGTCTAACTGTAGATCAGAGGAACTATGCAGAGGTATAGGTTGCTTGCTGCATGCTCTTTTTATTATTTTCTTGTGTTGTTCTATCATATCATTTGTTTGGAGGTTTAGCTTCTTTTTGTTTACTCTGAAAAAATATTGATCTATTTCATGCTAAAGGACTAAAGTCATGACAAACCTCTTGCGCAGATCACATCCCATTTCTTTGATTATAGCTGGCACCTTTGGCAGACTGATGTGCAAACCATATTACATGGTTTCTCAACAATTGCTCAGAGCTATAATTCAAATCCTCTGGAACAGCATCATGATGAGCTCTATCTGACATGTGAGAGGTGGTTTTGGTGTCTGAAGATAATACGTCAACTGGTAATTTCAGGGTTTCCAAGTGATGCAAAATGCGTACAGGTATCTTCTTTTTTTTTTTTAAAAAAAAAATTTAACTCTTGCTATTTTTTTTTCCTTTTCAACAGATCTTGAAATTTTATATTTTTTCTTATTTCTCTGTGTTAATATAAAATTTACCTGGCGAGAACATGAGAATAAGGGTACTCACGTGTTTCTATCATTCAGGAGGTCCGACAAGTCAAGGATGTTTGTCCTGTTCTCTTGAACTCAATCCAATCATTTCTTCCATATTGTAAGACACTTGTTTGTATTTAAAGTTTTTCTTTTCTTTATGTAAACCTTGTGTTTTTATTATTTTTCTGTTTGGAGGATTTAAGTACTATAATTATTTCATCCTGTGTTAAATGTCTCACCATGAAAAAAAAATGTCTCACCCTGAAAATAAAAAAGAACCAAATAAAAAATGCAAAAGAACTGGGAAGAGTGAAATAACAAAAAGAAAAGGTCTAAATTGCATAATAGTTACTTTTAATTAGCACAAACATACAAGCTATATTGTGCCATTTTCTTTCTCTTGCAATTCATTCAAAAAGAACCTTTTCTTGCATTTGCGAGCAAAATGCATAAATTTCGTTCTGTGGTGTAAGGAAGTTTACTTCCATTCTAATATCTGCCATATTGCTAAGTATAAAAAGTAATGGTGACTAAAACCTACTATAACTTGAAATGCTGCCTTAGTTGACATTGGTAAGATATCTCCCTACTAATTGAGAAAAAAGAGGCTGAATCATCTTAAAATCGTGGTTCCAAATATTGTGGTATATAATTCGTTCTCATTGGTGTTCTTCCAGATTCATCTTTTCAGAAGGGACATCCTAAATTTTGGGAATTTGTGAAAAGGGCATGTAGAAAATTGATGAAGGTTCTGGTTGCAATTCAGGGCAGACATCCTTATTCATTTGGTGATAAATGTGTCCTTCCAACTGTTGTGGATTTCTGTTTAAATAAGATAACAGATCCAGAGCCAGACTTATTGTCATTTGAAGAATTCTTAATTCAGTGTATGGTGATGGTGAAATGCATTCTTGAATGTAAAGAATACAAGCCCAGTCTTACTGGTCGAGTGATGGACGAAAGTGGAATTACGCTGGAGCAGATGAAAAAAAACGTTTCCAGTGTTGTTGGTGGGGTTCTGGCTTCACTTCTACCTAATGAGCGAATAGTACTCTTGTGCAATGTTTTGATAAGAAGGTATAAATACTCTAGTTTCTGTTTGCTTGCGCTAGTTTGCTCCAAATCTGGTTGGATGTATGCTAAATGCTTGCATGAGAATATTTCATTTCTTTTGTTTGCTTTGAGATTATGATTTGGAAATTTTTTTTCTAAACATCAATATATCATTAGAATCATCTAGTTAATCCATGGAGTCTTATGATGTTGATTTAGTATTTTTATGATAAGCTGATGGCAAGAGGTCAGATTATGGTCAACAGGTGTTACTTATGCATGAACGCAGCGGAATATTGCAACCATATCCTTTTGTGGTGTCCTTTAGTTTATGGTTTGTGGTGCATGATTTAATGTCTTTGGGGGACTAATTGAGTCATTATGGGTTCGATCAAGGGGAAATTTGGGCATGGGACGGCAGCTGCCGCACCAGGAGGTGGAGTTCGGTGGCCCTGGTGGTAGCCACTTTGATCGAGCAGGAGGGGCTCTTGCCTGCTCCCCTCGCATTCATTGAAGAAGAAAAGAAAGGATGGGTTTCTGAAAATAAAAGAAATCCTAAAACTGGTCCAACCCGTCAAGGGGGTAAAACAAATGAACTGACCCGAACCCGTCCTCCAACTTTACTATAAACCGGACTGATTCACATTCCTCTAGTCGCTGACCAACCTGGCCAAGTTGCCGAAAGTAGAAATTCTACTTTTTGAGGGTATTAATCCCGGTGCTTGGATCCGAAGATGCGGTAAATATTTTTTTGTACACAAAGTACCGGAGGAAAAAAACGTGCAGGTAGTGTCACTCTTCCTTGGTGAAGGGGCAGACATTTGGTTCCATGGGTAGTTGGTGAAAGCTGAAGAGCTCGAATGTGATATTTTTTGTGAAGGAACTTTATCAAAAATTTGGGGGCAACTCACAAAAAGAGTTTTTTTGAAGAATTTAACAAATTGGTGCAAGTTCTAGAATATTAGGAACAGTTCGAGCATTTGTGTGCTCTAATGAATGCAGACAACCCTGCTCTTTTTGAGATATTCTTTATACTTAGTTTCATTAATGGTCTTAAATTAGAGTTATAGCCTATGATAAGACTGCTCAAGTCACGCATGCTTAATTAAGCTTTTGAGTAAGTCTTGTTGCAAGAGTAATCCATAATTAAAATGTCGGGAAGCTTTTATTTTCATGAAAGCACTACCTACTCATCCGGTGGTTAGAAGGAAACGACAACTTGAAAATTCAAACATGCAGGAAGAGAAACAGAAGTCAAAAGATCAATAATATCGTGCTACAAATGTGGTGGTTGTTATTTTCCCAGACACTATTGCCAAAATAGAATCATGATGTCAGTAGACGTACCCTACCAAGGAAGACTTATTAGAAAAGGTGCCAGAAAAAGTGAGAATGGATGAAAAAAATTCAATAGGAACTTTATCCAAACAGGCAATGGAAGGAGTTTTAGCAAAACAATACCCTTAAAATTAGAGGGCATTCTCTGAATGTGATGTGCTACTAGTTGCTAGATAGTTGAAGTTCATACTCGTTTTTGGATGAAGATGTGGCTGAAGGAGTTTAGAATTCAAGTTGTCAGCGATAAACCACTGATGGTAGTGGTGGCAAATGGATAAAAAATCACTAGTGGTGTTGTGTGTCTAGATGTTACCTGAATAGTGTAATGTTACAAATTCAGGTATGATTTTCGAGTAATTCAACTCGGCAGATACTAAGAGTGGACTGGATGAACTAGCTTAGTCCTATAGTGTTCAATTTTGTGCATGCCACCATCAAAATTCATTATGCCAACTCGTTCATAGTTCTAAAAGGAGGTGACACCATAGGACGTGAAAGAGACCACTGCCGAGAATTGCGACAAAGAGAAGAACAACATGGAAGGGGGGACCATGTTCCTAATTGTGGAAGTTGATCAAGAAGACAGAGTTACTCTGACCCAGAATGACC